ATTATGTAAATAGCTCAGAAGCTATGACTATCTCAAACATTATACTGTTAGAGTAAATGACTGATTACAAATATGTTTAATTGGGACACTTCTAGAATTTCTGCCTCTAATGTGTTTAATCAACAGAATAGCTTTACTTTTATGTAAGCAATGGAGTTTTTCTGTTTATTGTTTTTGCCTGCATTATAGGACTTTCCTGAAATTGATTTTGTATGAAAGGGTCAGAAAAACAACAAAATAAAACTTATGAGATATAACTACAGTTTTATTTATTTTCTAAATGTTTATCGAGTGAGAAAGAGAGAATGAGCAGGGGATGAAAAGAGGGAGAGGGAGAGAGAATTTCAAACAGGCTCCATGCCAAGCGCGGAGACTGATGTGGGGCTCGATCCCATGGACCCTAAGATAATGACCTGAGCCAAAATCAAGAGTCAGACATTTAACCGACTGAGTCAGCCAGGTACCCCACAACTACAAGTTATTTTTAATGTTTTAGTTAGTGAAGATAAAAAGATATTTTATATGCCGATATTATTTGGTTATAATCATCAATTCATGGAACGCATCTACAATTTTCTTGCCAGTAGCTCAAGAGGATAAGAGTAGTAAGAAATGTTCATGAGAAGAAACCTTTGTGTAACACATTGTTTTGTGTATGCCAAGCTTCATATAAATCTGTCAATTCAACAAGTTATTCAATTTGCACCCAACCTGTGTCAGACATTGGGAGTGTAGATGGAAAAGATGCACCTCTGAGGTTTCAAAGTTATGAGGAATGCTACATTTCATTAAATTTAGTGTTGAGTCCATGACTCCCTTTTAAAAAACCTAAATATCTATTATGTTTCTTCCATGTATGATATTCTTTTTAAAAAAGTGAAACCAAAGATACTCCCCACTCCCAATGTGCTTATTTTAAAAAGATACTTACCTATGAAGTATATCTCAATACAAAGTAGTAAGTGCTAGAAGTGTAGTTGGAGTATCTAACCTGTGTGAGCAGGGACAGTGTTGGGAAATACTTCTAGATAAGCTGGCCCTATTGTAGAATGACATCATTTGTTCAGACCCATCTCGACTCAAGTGGCTGTGGGACATTGACAAATTTTGTATTATAGTATCCTTAATTATATAATAAACATAAACTGCTTCAGAATGTTAGATGATTATCACATGAAATAACATGTACAGAACTTTAACACAGTGTTTGACACATATTAGATACTTGTTAGAAATGTCTATTTCCTTTCTACCTTTGCTTTTCTGTTCCATTCTTATGCTCCTTCAAGTAGGAGTAAATAAGTGAGGAACAATAAGGAAGACATCACACGCATATTTTGTGTGTGTGTGTGTGTGTGTGTGTGTATCTTTTCATGGGATTATGAAATAGCAAGTTGTGTTTGTCAATCCCTCTAAAGTAAAATACTATGATGTAGCAAAAATTCTGTTGCTATAGGCATTGAACAGTAATGAGACATCTTTCATACCTTCTGAAGTTTGTGCTTTATTCTGTAGGAAATTTGCAGTCACTTAAAGGATTTGAAGCAAGAGAGTGACCTAGACTGGGCCTAGAGAGTGATTTAATTAGACAATACATAAACTAGTTGAGAAGATGTAACAGGCCAAGTGAAAAAAAATGACGGTATCTTAGGTATGATCAGAGATTATAGAGATGGAACATAGCATAAATATTTAGGAAATATCTATGGAAAGAGTAGCGGTACCTAATGGCTGATGTGGCTCAGGGCACTGAGAGAGTGTGGTAAGGCAAAGAATGACCACATTTCTGGTCATGTGGCATGAATGACAGTGGCATGATTTGAGATAGGGAAAAGAAAATGAGGATTGAAGATGAGAAATTCTACTACTAGATGTATTGTTGGTCATAGCGTAAAGACATGTCTAGCTATATAAGAAATTGCCAGTTTTTGAAAGTTGGCGAAGTATTTTATACTGGCACCACAAGGTATGATTGCTTTAGCATTCTAAGTCTTTTTTAATTTTTATCATTCGTATGAATGCGTAGTAGTTAACATTATAGGCTTAAAAAATACTAATATACAGAAAACTAACCTGTTTGTGTATGTGTTAACGGGAAAGCAGTTGAATACATCTGTGAATTTTTCCAAAAGTATAGTGTTGAGCAATCAACAATTATTTTGTGCTGCTCCTTTGTAATCAAGCCCCTTTCCCCAACACCTAAACCATGGTGACCACCAATGTCTTCTGTCTATAGAGTTTTGCCTTTTCAAGAATATCACTATTACCTGACAGGCTCCTGTAGGTTTTTACATTTTTGACACTAGGTATAATGCCCATTTGAGAAATGCATTTTTCTGAAATTTTCTGATCTACATTACATTCGTTTCAGGTATACAACATAGCAATTCAACAACTCCATGCATTATGCTGTGCTCTCCATAAATGTAGTTACTAAATGCAACATTATAGTACCATTGACTATATTCCCCATGTTGTACCTTTTACTTTAAATTCTGTTGACAAGGTAAAGTTTACCTTGTAGATTAAAGGAGGTGCTTTTCTAGAAGAAACATATAACACTATTAACTAAAGCTCAATACCAAATATGTAGTTAAACACACATGCTAGCATTGTATATGTACATTCTTTATAAAACCTCATCTTTCATTGTTCATATTTAAAAATTTACTTTGAGAGAGAGAGAGATAGAGCACAAGTGGCGGAGGGGGAGAGAGAGGGAGACTCAGAATCTGAAGCAGTCTCCAGGCTCTGAGCCATCAGCACAGAACTCAATGTGGGGCTTGAACTCAGCAACTATAAGATTATGACCTGAGCAAAAGTCGGACACTTAATCAACTGAGCCACCCAGGTGATCCAGTAAGTTTTTAAATTACTTTTTTTGCAGAAAACATTTTATGTTTTTCAAAAAGTACACACATTTTTAAAAAGAGGAAATATTACCTACACACTATATAAGAATGACTCAAGTGAAAAGAAAACAATGAAATACTGTACATTAAAATAATATTTTATTTGGAGATTAAGTCTTTAGCTAAAAATACATAATACTCATGAAGGGAAAAAAAAAACAGAACTTGAGCCTACCTACTTATTGATAAAATGATTAACATTCAACATTTTTTACCAGATGGCCAAAAAGTCAAGAGTACACTTTTCAAGAATGTACTTTAAATAAATATAACACCAATTTTGAAGAATTTAGCAGATTTACAGTTAACTTTTTACATGACGCCAAAGGTTAGATTGCTTTACTTTAATATTAACGGCTTAATAGTGTGCCACATGACTAATGAACCTAAGTAATTAAAAAACAACATATAGAATGGCAGCCTTCAAAATAAACTTACTATATACAAAATGGTTCTGGCACACTATATTTAGGTGACTATTTAAATATATAAATTTCTAAACTATTGCATTTATTACAGTTGAATTTTTTGAAATATTTTTTCAATTTTCAAAATCAGGGTAAACATCACATTACATTAGATATTAGCAAAATGGTGACAGTGTTTTCATAATGGCTTTTGTAAAACTGATTCAAACATACTTTTATGCATGAATATAACTGTAATATATTTTAAATGTGATTGAATAGATAAAGTGTCACTTTTGTTGTTTACAAAAATCTTTGCCTAGATTTTTAACCAATTCTTTCAAAAAGTCAAAAACACAAAGCATGAATATACAATCATATACCATAAGTTGAATTGTATATAGAATTATAATAGTATACCATTGTTTTATATCATGAAATATTTATTTCATGGGGTATTTTTTTAAATTTTTAAATGCTTTATTTCTGAGAGAGAGCGAGAGAGAGACAGTGTAAGCAGGGGAGGGTCAGAGAGAGAGGGAGGTACAGAATCCAAAACAGCCTCCAGGCTCTGAGCTAGCGGTCAGCACAGAGCCCGACACGGGGCTCGAACCCACGAACTGCAAGATCATGACCTGAGCCAAAGTCGGATGCTGAAACGACTGAGCCACCGAGCCACCCACCCAGCCACCCCTCATGGGGTATTTTCTGAAAGGCTCTTTAACTTTATGGTTAAATTTATGGTTAATTTTTTAAAACAATTTAAGATGCTTTTAAATGAAATCTAGAACATCAAAAATAAAAAATGCTGTTTTAATTTCAGTAAATTTTAGATCTATGACCATTTGCTTACTAGTTTTTAATTTCTTTTGATATCATAAATTATGTAAAACCAACAAAAACTAATCACACTGAAAAATGTTCCTCTCTTCATGGACAGGTGAAATATAACTGCACTACTACTAAGTCCTTTGGGCTAAGGATAAGCGAGTCTCTGTAACGTAATCAAGCCAATGTAGTACCTGAATTCTCAAGGATAGTTTTACAGTATACAATAACATTTAGACTTTATGTGGACTTGTAACAAAGTCAGTATAAAATTTAATTTGGAGTATATTTTTTAAAAAGAGACATTTGAGCCAAAGAACTTTTCTGCTTGGGGCTGTGGCTAGGTCCATTTTTCATTTTGAAATTGTAGATATTTTTTAAAGTGACTGGACTTTTGCTGGTCATAAATAAAGTATTGCATCTATACTATGGAACATGAGAGTGTTTGACTGTAATCCAAAATTTAGATACAGAGTGTTAACAGCTGTTTCTGTAGGCACTATAGTGTTTAAACTACATGATCAGTTTGAAAAAGTGCATGGTTATAAACTTGGTAGCTTGTTAGGGTAAGATCAATTTCCTAAAAGAGTTAGAACATGATTATGCCCAAAGAACAAAAAAAAATAATAATAAAACATCTCCCAAATTAAAAAAAAATGTGTGGTTAGCAAATTCACACATTTGAAATGTATATGCAGTTAAAGATAGACTTTGTAAGTGCTACGTATCTCAAACAAAATATCAAATGCTGAATGAATACTACTTTCATCTGTTAAACAGAAATTAAATATTTCATAAGTAGAAAGGAGCACATTTTTATATATAAGATATACTATTTCATGTATGCTTTTATTAAATGAAAGATAATATAACAAAATAGTCCATTTTTAATTACTTCAAAACAAAAAAGTTAATGTACAACTTAAACATTATTAACAGCAGTTTTTGACAATTAGTCCTTAAAGGGACAATAAAACAGATTTTTCTATAAACCATAAAAGAATTATGATTCATGCATTGCATATATTACACTGTTTAAGTTTATTGAATTTACACCTATATGGTTTAAATTAGCCAATCAGTTCTTTGCTCTTCTTGTGATAATAATGATATAAACTGTGCTAGAAGTCAAATGATGAAGGCAGCTGTAATAAATACCTGAGGAAGGTTTTGAGAGCATTCTTGAGAATAAAATTATTGGAGATGACTCCTTCTAATAATTGTTTTTTTAAAACAGGTGAAAAGACACATGATAGTCTCCACAAACATTTTTCCCTTGAAAATAACTTTCTGCACTGAAGACAGACCTGTTTTATTTTCCTTTGAAGTCTGATTGTTACTGGCTGGTTGGGGTAAAGTTTAGAGGTAATGCATGCTGTCAATGATCTAGGTCTGCAATGAGAGCAAGATAGGAAGTGGTGGTATTTGTATTGAGGATTTGTTGACTTTGTTTTCATACACTTTCCCTTAATCTAAGAACCAGTTCATAAAATTTTCTGTCACAGTAGGTACAAATATACAGTATAAACAGTGACAAAAATTTCTCTGTAGTAGTTCTTCAAAATTTAATACAGTGTAAGGGGTTACTAGGCATGACATATTTAGAATTCATCCCTATGATAGCATACAGTGGCTAATATAAGAAAAAAAAAATCCACAGGTTCTATCTGTATGAGTGTGCCTATGAAGATGCTTGCTTATGTCATTATAGTGATTTATTGTCATTCCCTGTAGAAAGTGGATTACTACTGTTGTACTAATTTCTCCTGGTCTGATCATTCTGAGAAATGGCAAATTAAGTTATAAATAAGTTAAACACGAATCATACCTCTTTTCAAAGAAATTTTACTTCAGAATCACTGATTAAAAATAAGTTTCATCACCTGATGAGCTATTTTATGATAAATTCTACTGTTACTTTACTTCTGCATGAGTGTCTCTAAACCCTGAAGATTTATGTATTTTTGATTAGCACTGCCCAATTGCTTCTATTTAAATTTAATAAGAAATAATTTTACACTTTTCATGTAATAGCATATGTTTTTTTACTACAGTTCTAGTTACAAATATTAACTGTAAGAACTGGAGGAGAACATATACTATTATAGTTTCACTATTAGCATACAGGTAGGTTAATCTGTCACAGTATGACAACTGATCACAAGCATGAAACGTGATAGGTACCATGAAAGTATGATGTTTTTACAGGGGGATATTATTATACATAATACCAAAGTATTTTAAATGAGATTATTTCCATTATTAGAATGTTAAAAGTAAAACTTAGGAATGATTTAAGATATAAAAGAATTTTCATTTCCACGGCCTTAAAATGCTAAGTATATTTTCTCTATTTTGGTAAAAATAGCTTAAAACATGAAGGAAATCCAGGGATCGGTAAGAAAGAAAAAGAAATAAAAATTGATATTAACAGTTGATCTCTCATTAACATTGAATTTTTGAAACATGAATAATTGTGAAGTATGTTTTCTTAATAATTAAGAAGTAATTGTTAACTTTTATGAAACAACTTTCCACAGCTTCTAAAATCTGGAATTCAGCATTGTGAAGCAGATACATGAGACAGACACAACACCAAGCGTGCTACAGTTTATCAAAAATCCTCAAAGGATGCTGTGCTTCAGAAAGCAGGCCTTCCTCACACGACAGGATTCACTGTAAGACTGAAGTTATGATTACGTTTTCCTTAAGAATTTTTATTGGAGACTTTAGTGTTCAGACTCTGGATGACTGAATCACTGAAAAAAGTCTAAATCAAACATGTACACTATTGTTTAGGTCTTATTTTCCTCACTAGACATACCAAATATGCACACAATCTATTTCTTTGGCCCAGAATACAAGTTGGATGTAACTGTGCACTAATTATGCAACACAAGCATTTACTGTGAAATAAAAATTAGTATCAAAGTAGAAATTCAGCAAATTAGGCACAATTTTTCTCCCATATTTTTTCAGTGCAGCACTGTGAAGGGTGCCAATGTTGTTACCATTTTTAAAAAAGGCCAAATTCTTTTAAGATCAGTGTATACTGACTGACAGTTATTCCTGTAACTCAAAAAACATATTTATTGCTTTCTATAATTATAAATGCATTAAGAAAGAGGCAGCTCATGATCGAATGCATAAGCGGCTCTTTCCTTACTGTATTTTTCAGACCATTTACGAGTTAGTTCTAGATAAAGACTTGGTTTATGAGGCCGGTAATCCAGGTACACTGTATTACTGGTTTTTTTGGGAACAGCTTTTTCAATCTGAGTTCCTTCATGCCACTCATTAAAAGAGGTGATGGAAATTACACTGGGGTGGGCATGTAGTGCTGCACCCAGGGCAGTTTCATAGTATTTCCCACTGATTCGGTTCCGAGTATTTTGAGCGTTCCATGGACGGATGCTGGTATCTATATATCCTGGGCCAACACTTGGGATAAACAGTAGGTTGAACTGATCACAAAAAAATTTTAGCCTAGCCCAGTTCTCATAGGATGAGCCTTAAGTGAAGCCATTTGTGGCAAAATATGTGTAAATTCCATCAAAACCACCTTGTAGAATATCGTACCTATGTTTGCTTTCTACTAGAAGTGCAATGAACAGTCCATCATAAGGAGAATTGCGAATGCTCTGAGATCCTGTGGTAGTTAACAGATTGGCCCATTTCTCAGGCTTTGTGATATAGGAATCATAGATATAAAACATAGGAAGGGCACTGCCAGTCTTGGTCTTGTACCTATAAAAGGCTGGATGATTTCCATACCTAGAACACAAAAGTATGTAAAAATGTAATGATACCTGCAACTCATTTTCCATAGACAATAAGTGTTTCTATAATGAAAATGAAGGTAATCCATGCAATTTAATAAGCACATTGTTCACTTTCTTTGGGGGGAGATCAGTTGTATTAAGGGTATTTATTAAACATGTATTTATAATTTTGCAGATTATAAAAATGAGATACTGGATACATCAAGACATTACCTAAGAAGAAACTGATTATCTTATATTGAGGTTTACAAATAATGACCAATACCATAAAAAGCCCATTTTCTATATGACTATGTCAACTGCTTTCTATCAGTAATCAGTGTCTCCCTGTTGCTGAGGAGTTTCTTTTTAAGAGTATAGTAACTGGCACAGGTTCTCATCAGTAAAATCCTTGAACAAAATTAATAAATTTTTCCTTTTTTTTAATCTGAATATAAAATACTGGATGGGAGTCCACTGATAGAAAAGCAGTCCATGTTTTGTAAACAGACAAAGCTCTATTATTTGTGATTTATATAATATCAATTTAAAATATTTTATATCATTTATATGATATATCATAAATAGCTTATAAAGAGAACAATCTATTTACACAGAAAGTGAATTATAAGAATTTCAGAAATGTTCCTCAAAATGATTATTCGTTACAAAATTTATTTAGTTTTAATTATCAGACCATGACTCATTCAAATCTCTCAAATACAATTTCAGTGTACTCTTCTTATAATTGTTATTGTCACTGAATCAAAAAATTATGAACACAAAAGAAACTCACTTGTCTATAATATATTTGACATTTTTGTACATGTTTTGGTCATCACGATTGCTGTATGGCTCGATGTGAAAAGTGACCTAAGACAAAAAAAAAAAAGAAAAGAAAAAAAAGTCAATGAAAGAAAAAATTATGTATAATGTAAACATAAAAATTAAAGTATATTCCATGTTTTTAATAATCTTATTTTAAGATGAATACTTATTGAACATAAACCTTAACAGAATTCTAACAGAGAAAGCTTAGTCAATGTAATTACTGTGAAATAAGATGCTCAACAGTTTATACTTTTTACCTCCATTCTTATGACTCAGGTAGTTACGAAGTTAGGCAGAAAGTGGTAAAATGGTCAACCTGAATTCAGAACTCAAATATCTGACCACTATGCAATACTTCTTCCTATATTTTATTTCTTATAAAGAATAAATAGGATATATTCTACATCCAGGCATAAGTTTCTTTAAAAAGAACATGGTCCTGAAAATCTGGAATCTATTTCCCAGTGTGACCAATTAAGTTTACATTTAAATGGAGTCAGTAGTAAATATCTTTTTAAGTTTATTTATTTTGAGGCAGAAAGGAGGAGAGAGAATCCCAGGCAGTCTCCACGCTGTCAGTGCAGAGCCCCACATGGGTCTCAAACATAAACTGAGACCATGACTTGAACAGAGATCAAGGGTCAGGTGCTTAACCGACTGAGCCACTGAGGCACTCCAATAGCACTTTCTCTAAATGACAAAGTACTCTATATGTAGATTATTTTGTGAAATATTGTTTTAATGATAATGTGTACTATAACTCAAAGGATTCATCCCAAAATTACTGAAAAAATAACAATGCTAGTACTATGTATGCTTGTTGATAGTGGTTTATAGATCTCAACCATAATTGTAGAAAGCAGTAACCAGAAGTATTTTTTAAATTAAAAAACCTTACCTCTATATGAATAAAAAAACTAATTATGGCTAGCAAAACCATTTTGTATGCAATTTCTAACTAGTACTTAAGATCTGAATATCATATAATGCAAAAATTTTCACTTCTATTACTAATTTTACTGACTTACCAGTAGCCACTAAACATCTTTATGACAATCTCATAAACATTTTGATGTTATTCTATTTTTAGGATTTGGTCTCTATGAGGCATGTTTGTAATTAGAAACTGCTAGGGGGCATCTGGGTGGCTTGGCTGGTTGAGCATCCAACTCTTGATTTTAGCTCAGGCTATGATCCCAGGGTGATGGGACCAAGCCCCCCACATCGGGCTCCATGCTGAGTGAGTGTAGAGTCTGCCTGAGGTTCTTTCTCTTTAAAAATAAATTTTTGGGGCGCCTGGGTGGTTTAGTCGGTTAAGCGTCCGACTTTCGCTTAGGTCATGATCTCGCGGTTCGTAGGTTCGAGCCCCACGTCGGGCTCTGTGCTGACTGCCAGCTCAGAGCCTGGAGCCTTTTTCAGAGTCTGTATCTCCCTCTCTCTCTGACCCTCCCCTGCTCACGCTCTCTCTCTCTCTCTCTCTCTTAGAAATAAATAAAAAAATATTTAAAAAAAATTTCTGTGCTATTGCAATATAAAGTGCCTTTGTTTTTAATTACCTAATTAAAGTAAAATCAATTTTATTTGAATCAGTGCTAATAGTTGTCATAGAAGTTTAAATCAGACAGCATTTAGTGAAAATATCATTCCCTACATTGTTAGTATTATCAAAATCTCATTATAGGAAGTTTTATCGGTAAGGTAAAATTCAATTCTGTGTATTGTAAGTATTGCTAGGACAGTCAGAGTTTTCAGTAGCTCTGGTATTTGCTTTATAACTTCAAGTGGGGGGAAAGCAGATTGGCAAGGATATAGGTATTTTCATATTCTTATGTAATGTTACCTTGGGTAATTCTCCCTCTAGATGGAATGTTTTATTTTCTAAGTTTCCATTTTATAAACAAAGTATACCACATTAAGCAAATAGCCTGTGTCAAATATAAATGGCATCCTTCCTTTTGTAAAGTACATATCAATATATTTACAGTAATTAAAAAAGCCATTGTTGATAAATATATATTTTCATTTTCCCTTCTAAAATCACTTTGTAGGTTTAATGATTTAAACTACTTACTATTTCTCATTCATTGGGAAAATCCTATTAGACCAATGCTAAAGTAACCTTATAAATGATAGAATACTATAAATAAAATGAAATGCAATGCTTGTGTTAGCTTTAGTTTAGGAAGTAAGAGTCATGAATGTTCCCTCATTTCATGCTTCTACTTTTGACCTCTCCTGCTTTTCTCTACCCTGCAGCAAAAGTGAACTTTTTAAAGTGAACATCTGGGGCGCCTGGGTGGCTTAGTCGGTTAAGCGTCCGACTTTCGCTTAGGTCATTATCTCGCGGTTCGTGGGTTCGAGCCCCGCGTCGGGCTCTGTGCTGACTGCCAGCTCAGAGCCTGGAGCCTCTTTCGGTCTGTGACTCCCTCTCTCTCTGACCCTCCCCTGCTCACGCTGTTTCTCTCTCCTAGAAATAAATAAAACATAAAAAAAATTAAAAAAAAAAATAAAATAAAATAAAGTGAACATCTGATGGTCCTGGTAAGGTCAGCAACATGCTGTCATAAAATGTTTCTCCTGCTTATCCCTGTTTTTAATCAAAAGATTTGACATTCATACATGAACAAAAGTACCCTCGTGGGTGTTCTCAGACCTATCACCTTACTCCAAAGAGCCTGGCAGGAGTCTCACCCACCAGTGCAGCCAGGAAGTGGCAAAGCAACCTCTGTAAGGGCTGGGGAACCAGAGGAGCTAGCCAAATGACCTAGACCCCTCTTGCCACTGTGGGACAAAAATCAGGTGAGTGAAGACCTGAACAGGCACTCACTCATTAGAGAGAGAACGTGAGCCTGAGTCTAGCCTTCCCTAAGGCAGACTCTAGCACATAACCTTAAAGGGAAAATATAGGGATCTGGCAGCAGGCAAAGCAGTAAGAGCAACTTTCCTGGCCAAGAAACACTGAGGGTGCTAATTTATCTGGTGGCTGTAACCTCTTCTGCAAGGGAAAAGAAATCAGTGAGTGCCTACGTATGGGAACTAGAGAAATCCACTTTCGCCCTCAGCACCTGCAGTACTAAGGTGGGAGCTCTATAACTGGGAGTTGGGAGGATAGTGGGAAAGAAGCAGGTAAGAATTTCAGATGGTATAAGAGGGATTGTGCTTCGCAAGGAGTACCACTCCTGCTGGGTCTGTGAGAGCACCCAGTGCTAAACCCACACCCCCCCTCACGGTCTGTAGTTCCTTGTGCAGGATGTCAAGTGACACTGTGACAGCAGTCTCCAGGAGACAGAGAGCACAAACTTGAAGTATAGGAACCAGAGAAAACCTAACAGCTTTATAGAAGTGCCCCAAAGAAGGGATAAGACAACGAGAAGGTTTCTTCATAAAAGAGGAAAAATATAATAACAATACTACATAACATCCCATTTGCTGAAGACAATAAGCAGAATTAAGGAGATATCTTCTACTTCAAATGTGAAAGCACCGATAAATATCTATAAAGGTTACGAAAAATCAAGGAAATAGGGCATCACTAAAAGAAAATTATATTCTGCACCAATCAAGCTCACACGCACAGAGTATTCTGATCTAAATAATAAAGAATTTAAAATAGCTGTAATGAAGAAACTCAACAAGTTCTAAGAAAATTCAGAAAGACAATTCAATGAAGTCAGGAATTAAAAATACAAACAAATGATGTGGTTTTTTGTTGTTGTTGTTTTTACCAAAGAGAATGAAGTTATAAAAAAGAACAAATTCTGGAGCTGAAAATTCAATAAATGAGATGAAGAATGCAACAGAGCATATACAATGAAGCATACCACATGGAAGAAAGAATAACTGACATGGAGAATAAGAAGTTCGAAACAACGCAGAAGAGGGAACTTAAGAGTTAAAAAAGTGAAGAAAGTCTATGTGAGTGGTGATTATCCATAAAAAAGGCAAATATCAGAATAAACTAGGATTTCAGAAGAAGAGAGAAAGGGGGCAGAGTTTATTAAAAAAAAAAAAAAAAAAAAAAGAGAGAGAACTTCCCAAACCTGAAGAAAGGTTTGTATGTCCAAGTCTACTAATTACCCTTTTATCTCCGTACCCCATGACCTTCTATAAGACATAATTGTCACAAATCAATAATGAAGAATATTAAAAGTATCTTATTAAAAAAACCAAAAACCAAAAAATGTAACCTACATAGCAATTCCCATTATGCTATCCATGGATTTCTCTGCAGAACCTCCACTGGCCAGGAGAGAGTATAATGACATATTTGAAGTGTTGAAAGACAAAAAATTGTCAGCCAAGAATATTTAATATGGCAAAGTTTCCCTTCAGATATGAAGAAGTAATAAAGTTCACCACCACTAAATCGGCCTTGCAAGCAATCTGATAAAGAGTTCTTCGAGCTAAAATGAAGACATGCTAATTAGCCACATAAAAACATACAAAACTATACAACACACTAGGTAAAAGTAAAAATATACCTTAGAAAACCGTCACTCTGTATTAGGATGATGTGTCAACTCTTCAACTACAGAATAAAAGTCAAAGGAAAAGCAGGAGAAATAACTACAGCAACAATATGTTGTTAAAGAAATTTGCAAAACAGTAGGTAAATTGGAACATCAATAATAAGACAAAAACCAACAGCAAATTGACAAAGGAGGAAACAGAACATACCACCATGAAAAATAACCAATTTACAAAGGTAGCCAAAAAAAGAGGGAAAAAAAAATAATGGAAATATAAAAGCAGAAAGCAATTAAGATGACATTAGTAAGTCCTTACGTATTAATAATCACTCTAAATGTAAGTGGTGTAAACTCACCAATCAAAAGGCACACTGGATGGCTGGATAAAAAATAAAACCCAAGTACTGGGTACCAACAATGGATACACTTCAGCTTCAAGGGTGCATGTATCCTGAAGAGATACTACATGCAATTGGAACTGCAGTAGAACATCAAATTTCAAAATGTAAATTCGAAGAGGGCCGAAAAATTAAGTAAAAATCATTAATTTTTTATGGAAATGTCTCCATGTGT